ATCATGAAAGCTCAAATACATCTTGCATCTGCAGCCTCTTGCTGCAACGGCTGTTCTCTCTCGTGCCCCTACCGACCGCAGGGCTGGTATTCAAGGGCATGAAGTTCTGAAAAAGGCACAACTTGAAGAAGGGGATGTATGTATGTATAAATATAAATAAATAAACAAATAAATATAAATATAAATATAAATATAAATAAATAAATATATATATATATATATTTATGTATGTATATGTATATGTACAGCAATCCAAACAGGAACCGCTGTTTAAGCGGGCTTTCGCGCAAAAACTCCTCACACGGCTAATCCGGCAAGAAGACATTTCCATCGCTGCGAGCATCGATGGTGGAAGTGTCTCAGCAAAACCTGAGCCGAACAGCAAAAGCCGTGGCGCACCGATGTCAGAAGCAGCCGCTGTCAGAAACTTCAGAATGTGCTGCGGCAACATGCAGGAAAGAAGAGACGGCCTGAACAAGCAGCTGCAAAAAAACGTCTTAGCTGCCCTCACTAACCTTAAATCTGAGCACCAATAGAATATACCTATAATCTAGCAAAACATACTATAATATAATATACTATAAAATAATTCAATATAATATACTATACTATATTATAACGTAATATAATATCATATAATACAATATACTACAATAAAGTATAAGATATCAGAATCCATTCCAGCAAAGCAGCTCTTCCCTCTCCGGCTCCCCGGGCTCTCGTCTAAACGGGCGCAGTCCAAGCCCTGAAAGCTCTTTTTTCCGTGGGGATTTTTGGGCTTTCCGGGTCAAGACGCTCAGTCCTTAAATGCCTGCATCTTCGACGGTTTAGGGTTTAGGGTTTAGGGTTTAGGGTTTAGTGTATATACATATTATACTAAAAAATAATATATATATATATATACATATACATACATACATATATATATATATATGGCTTTGATCGCCAATCAACAGTTATCAGACTTGCTGTGCGTTTCAAATGCCATGGACTCATGCGGAAACCCGCTCTCAAACATTGTCCAATTAAATCACAATTGAGTCACACGGTCCCAGGCTTTCTTGGTGGGGAGGATTCTAACAGAGGCTTTCAAGCCGGAGGCAGAATTTAGCACATTCAGCAATGCTATTGCAAAGGATTCTAGAAGTACTTGTGTATCTGCAGGAAAGGCTGTGCTCAACAAGTCACGGAAGCATCCATCAAGGTACGTTCCAACTGGCTCCTTGGTAGAAGTGGCATCTCGGGTTTGATTGGCTGAACTCTGTTGTTTAGGTCTGGGTTTCGACAGTCTGGCAAACGAGAGTTTCGCAGCGTAGCTGTTGGTGAAAGCTCCGAGCCCTTCCCCACCTTTCAAGCTTTCGACGGCTGTAGGGTTCAGGGGAACTGAGATCCAGGCTGCAAGGCCCTTCAGCCAAAAGGAGCTGGAGTTACGTTTGCGCTAGACCTGGTTGTATCTGCACTCCTCCTTCATACTGCCACAAAGCCAATACCATCATATCGCTAGTCATCATCATCATCATCATCACCACCATTGTCATCACCGTCATCATCACCGTCATCATCCACAGCGACAGTAAGATGGATAACGACAGCGGGAATCGGGATTGGTAGCAAGGCAGAGGAAACAACCACCACCACCCCAATACTCCTGCCGCCACAGGGGTTCCTACTGCCACCACGGCTGCGAGAACATGACCAGGATCACCAAGGCAATGCCCCAAGTACCGCAAGTGGTATTGAAGTTGGAGGCAGTGGTGTAAGGGTCACCAACCATGCGGTGCTGTTCGCGTCAATAAACGATAGTCATGCTGCTGACACTGACGACGATGATGATGGCGATGATAGCCATGGTGATGGTGCTGCTGCTGCTGCTGCTGCTGCTGATCATGATGACGATGATGACGATGACGATGACGATGATGATGATGATGATGCTGATGATGGTCAGTGACGGTTATGATGATTCAGACACAGCAATGCAATGACTGAAAAACGAAGCGGTAAGCAGCAACTGCGGATACCGCATGGTGGCCATGACAATGATTCTTCTTGTGCTCCTGATGGCTATTTGATGACGGGTAATGCCATTGTTCACACTAGCTGTTTTTGTGATGGGGGTATTGACAACTATAGTCTGTGCAAAGAACCAACGGCCCCTTCGAAGCCAGGCCGCAGCAACTCCCGCGCAGCGTTGCCGTCCGAGCCGTCGGAGAGTGAGAACCGATTCAGCAGCTCGTCGAGCCTGCGGATGGCTTGGAGGTCCATGAATTCTGACACTCGTGCCTTACACAACGCCGTTCTGTGCCCAAGCAGTACTACAGATGACAGGCATTTACACTGCCACAACAATCAGTGAGGGTCCAGAGCAAACTTATCTCACACAAGTGCCGGCAAGAGCAAAGGCTCCACGCTGTGCTGTTTTCTTTATGAGTCTGGCGTTCATCCAAAATGCATGAGGGCGGGGCTATGGTAGTTTCAAACTTCACCCCCAGCAAACATGCTGTCAACCCAAGACACAGCCGGAGCAGCTAGGCTTGTGGGTCTTGCACGACTCGCTCATGGCTTGCTAGAACAGGGTTTGGGGTATGCAATTATACTATACTTATAATCAGAAAACCAAAGTCACCCCTTCTTGCCTGAGCTTCAGAGCTTTTTGATCGGCTCAGGAGTAGCCCCAGACTGCGCTTGTCTGCTGACGATGCTACTTCCACCAATCCACATAGCTTGCATGCGTTGTATCGATGTGAGACTTCCCGTTCCATTATTGAATCTGTAATTGCAGCGAGACTGCCAACAAGATGAACATCTGAGGGTCAGTGACTGTTCAAGACATACGCACAAAACACGCAGGTGTCTAGGCAGCGAGGGCCTAAAGCTGCCCTTAGAACCAGCCCCGACACGCCCCCAAGCCACGAACAACTCTGAACCCTATGCCCAAATAGGCCCAACCGGCCCTTCCTCATTGTGGTACGACGATAGATTCGTTTTTTTCTAACGGGCCTAACACTTAAGCCCCGTGGCGCCTGCCAACGCAATCGAGACAGGTCTGACCTGCGTCCCTCCACTTTGCATGGGCGGCCGCCTTGTCCGAAGGCCCAGTCGGCCGATGTTCATAGTCTCATGGTGACGAGCAACATGAAGAAGATAACCAACTCAGCAACGACAACCGAAAACGACAGCAGCAGCGCGGGCCGGGGCAAATCATCAACAAACACCATCACTCAGATGATAATTCGAGTAGCAGCTTATGCCGGCCCCGAGATGACGAGCATATCATCAAAACCATGGTTATCATCAGCTTCACCGTCATCATCATCAACACCACTGTCGCCATGGTAACTTGATCAAGCCGTCATCTTCATCATCATCCTCATCATGGTCTGGCTTATCGTCTGGCTCGTTTGAGATTTGCTTTCCGGCTTCCCGTGCAACACACCTGCTTCGCGGCTTGATTTCCACTGGACGCAAGGTTGCAACAATACAGAACCTTACCTGTCCTTTCTTCATTCCTTGTGAGCTGCCGTGCTCTTGGTTCGACCCCAAGGTCCCAAGGCCGTAGCCTGCGGGGCCTTCGGGCCCCAGAGGTGCCCTCCACTACCCACCGTAAGGTGGCCGTTAGTCTCAAACCAAGCCCAGCCCAGAACAGTAACATCCCCTGAACATTGCAGCGCCTGCTCGCGCTCAATCACTAGCGATCGATGGCGCATGATGTCCTTGGACCATCGCAAATCTGGCAATGAATCCAGCTGTAGTTTGATGCTCTGGATGACAGGCGGCAGGCTCAAAGCATCTCAAAGCTAGATGCAAACCGCTGCGTGTGAGGGTGGTAATCCGTTGACTATCTCGGTGTGGCCTTCCAAGAGATATTTCTACGATGCTTTCTAGCATGACAATCAGCTGGGGTGCTGGACTTGTAGCTTCAAGCACAAAGCCTGACCATCTCCATGCCTGCTCCGTGTGGTCAACAAATACTCAAAGCCCGAAGACCAGGCCGGAAAAAAAAGGAGCGCCTTCTTGAATCTCAACCTCTTGAGGGCGAAGGGGCCATGACGCGCTGGGCCGAAGACCAGGACCAACCCTTGAGGCTGTAGATATTGCCATCCTGTCAGATCGTTCGCTTCGCGGGACTTCGCCGATCGCAAGAGGCTTCATTCTGGGCCTATGCAAGGCAGCGGTTGTGCATCTTCGCGGATTATGCGCTAGAAATGATTTATGTGGGCCTGAGCTTGGAGATGAGCTCTCCATGCGATGCGCAAAGTAAAGCAAAACAACTCGACACGGACTTCGGCACAAGCCGAACACTGCAGAGTCCTCCATGTTCAGATGCGCAGGCAGCGTACAATTCGATCTGGCCTGGCCTTGAGGTCCATCGAGGCAAAGTCGCTGATCGGCAGGCCTGGCGTCGCACTGATCAGCAGTGGACTCCACCCCAAATGGACACAGACCAACGTCACGCTTCTCGGATCATTCCATTTGGCATGAATGCTGAGAAATTTGACCTCCGCTAGACTCCGTGAGTGGGAGCAGGAGGCGGAGCCATGCCTTCGAAACACACATGCCATGTGCTTCTTAATCATGAATCATGGTATATTATAGCATGTTATAGTTCATTCATTATAGTACATTATAGTCTATTACAGTACACTTATTATACACGTTATTAAGCTCAGATCTCGGCGCATGGAGCAATTTGGCAGGGCTTGGCCTGAGCACTCGGCTTCCATGCAGTAGAGGTGGTACATGGTGAAGAGCCCCCTGCGAGGATGAACATAGCTTACGCCCCAAACACAGGAGAGAGGCGGTGCTTGAAGAGGCTTGGAGGGAAATATCGCTTCCAAGCAGCCAAAGCTCATGGTCCTGCTGTTCCTTTCCTTGCCTGCTGTATTGGAGGTTGCTCGCACTGCAGGATACACCACCGGACCAGAATGGATTCTTTCCCTTTTTATGAGAGCAACACATTATCAAGCCTTCCCCACAGGAAGTGTTGAATCACTGTACAATCATGCTAATCCCCGAACCCTGAACTCCAAGCTCTCAGTTCCTACAACCGTCCGGCAAGACGTGGCTAAATCAAAGACCCCAGCGGAATATGATGACAGGCTCAGGAGCTGTATGAGCTCTTGAGGGAAGATCCCTGGCCTATAGGACGGAGATTCTTCGACGTCGTGCCGCTGCTCGACGAAGTCTCAGACACCGAGGGGCAAACGTCTAAGCTCAAGATCATGCTTCATCGTGAGAGCTGTAAATCCTGTGCTTGGAGGATGTTCTGTGCCCTTTCCAGCGACTGTTCTGGTACAAACTCCCTGCAAAGGAAATAAAAACATCGTTCTCAGTGCTCGGGGCTCCTTCTGAGATGCTGCCAGAGCCGCGGACTTCGTGGAGCTGCACACCGGAGGGCTCCGAGTCCCGCAAGGACCTGGGACTCGAGGAGCCTACAACACCTGAAGGTACCCTCGAATTCATCGGATTTACCCCTTGTCCGTTTTATACATGCCATACGCATACATACATAAATATTTGTATACATGTACTGCACATATGTAAAACCAATATACATTTATGTATAACCATGTAGATATGCACCATGCACATCAAGATGTACTACATACTTGTGTGTGTATTTGCCGCTCCACGACTTCTTGCAGTGGAGTCGCGTGCTCGGAGTGATCCTGAGAAGAGAAGACTTCTCTCTCGCATGCTCGGACTCACGGAATCCTTTAAACAGGAATCTACCTCGACCCTCGTTCAACCCTATGATTAGAGGGACCATATACCCCTAGGGCCTTAGGGTCATGGTGCTTCGAATTTGTCCAGGAAGGCATCACACCGAACCAAAGGGACACGAGCCGCGTGGGAAGGGCTGATTTCACAAACTCAAAAGCTATGATTTTTCACTGCGCTTCTGAGATCCGGAAAGTGCGGTTAATTAATACCACACCGGTTACCACACCCATTGAGCCCAACTTGATTTTGCATGCGACGCCAAACGAACCGAATATGTCTTCCCCGTGCAGATGGAATGTTGAAAGCGCTGGCTCTGTCTGCCCATGGGGTTCGCCATGCAGAAGCCAAGCCGTCCCGGTATCGCATGCGCCAGCTCAGCTGCACTGCATCTACACCTACACATACCAGAGCGGTTCTCTACAATTCCGAACAGCTGAAGACACGAACCCAGGAAACAAAACAGTGCAGTCTCTGCAACCGCGTAATCACAGCGTAGTCTCCGGTAGTGGATGTCCACGACATGGTTCAGCTGCTCAGTCACCTGGGCCCAAACCCCTGCAATCATCGTGGCCACAGTCGGGAAAATCAAAAGTAAAACTGACAAAACTTGAACGAAGCCTCTCGTCAAGATGAGTATCAAACTTAACTATGCCAGCATATATATGTATATATATATATAGAGAGAGAGAGAGAGGGAGAGAGAGAGAGAGATCCCAAGCACTGAACAAGTCATCTAGCCCATGGCACTGAGGTGCGAGCACGATTTCGGCAGACGGAAACGCACGGGACGGTGGCTGGCACACCGCAAACTTTGTAAAACTCCGAAACCCCTCTCGTATAATATCGTATAGCATAGTAAAATATAGCATAGTTTCAAGGCCACGCCGAGAGGGCCTAAGAGCCTTCATAGCGTAGCCCTGCCGGACTCTAGCGACTTGGAGCCATTTACTGATGAACGCAGGACTGCGGAAGGAGCGCGATTTTCAGTCAAGACTTCAAAATAGTTGCGACTCGCACGGACAGGAACCTAAAGCCTTTACAGAGACCAGTTGTAACCTCCTCGTCTTTCGGCACTGCTTGGGGCAGTTCAACCCAAAAAAAGTCAAAGAGAAAGTACTTGATCGCGAACCCGGTCGCCAAGGCAGCCGCGGAGGCTCGAAACTTCTCCTCGTCGTAAGGCATGTCCTTCCTGGGGTGGAGGGAGGAGTGGATGCGGAAGGAGGAGAGCTCAAGCCAGAATGAGTCTGGCGACGATTTTCGCCTTATGAGACTTATGAGTCCCTGCAGCCTTACAGACCACACTGCACTCGACCTAAAGCTTCATCCTGCAGATGAAAAATCCGGCCATCGCAGTACAAACCAGCTTCTCAAGACCTGCAACCTGCCGACTCATGTGCCTTTGGGTGTGTTAAGATATGCTCGCAGGGCGAGCAAAGAAAGCAAACTCATTCCCGGCATATGTTCGGGGCATGACACCCCGGAAGAACACCTGAGCCGCCATGCTCGAGATCTCTGGCACATGCCTTTAAGGGTTCACACACACACACTAATCCACCAATCCTGAAAACTCTGCGTAGAGGCTTCCTTCAAAGCCACAGACCCAAGTCAAGCTTCAACGTCAGCTTCATCGCTGGGAGGGTGTGGGTCACCCGCCGCTTGCCGTTCAAGAGCTCCTGGGACGCTTCGCAGAAGCCGAGGCTTCGGGGTTCTAGAAAGAATCGCAGTTGCTGGGTGCAGAAGGTGGGACAGTTTGGATCGTCAGTGTCTCGGCCGTAGGCCCGGGCTAGGCCTCACTGACTGGTGGCAGTCACCCCGAAGTATGGTATCATTGCAGCCAGAGGCGCCGCCCATGTGGAGAAAAGGAACTTGCCTTCAGGGTGCGTGTGCTACTATGTTGAAACCTGCGCGACATGATGAGTCTTCCAGACAAGACGGGAGGATTGATTGTCCAGCTTCGATGAGTCTCAACGTAGCAGCTAAGACTTAGAAACTGGCATGATTTGGATATCTCTATGCCCTACGCGTCCGCCACAGCGTTACCCGGGGTGCAGCATTTGGGGACTCCGGCTCGGCGCACCCTTGAGGCTCGGCTCCGGGGAGGTCACGCGCAGCTGCAAGACGTGGGTCACGCGCATGAGCCTGGGAAGTGTGCAAGATGAAGGCTTCGGGGATTGAGGGTTCCATGAATGTCGACTTGCTTCTGAGTCTACTCGGAGGTTGTACGAGATGGAGACTGTTGATGTGCTCACGCGACGATGCAAACAGTCTATGAAGGATTTGGCAAGTCGGGTACAAACGCCCTGGCGAATTCGGGACAGATTAGGTGAGGAACATCTAACACTTTCAATGCGAAGTTGCAGTACTCTTCATTCCTGACCCTGCACTAGGATCAGGACGACGTCACTTTGCTCCATGTGCAGAGCAACCATCGAGCCCCACAGCTTGGCCATAACGGTTGAAGGCGCTACTGCCATACCATAGGAAAAAATGCTGTGACGTAAGAGCACCGGTGGGAAATGGTGGAACTAGATTGTTGCTGTAGCCGGGCGCGCAGAAGTCAGACAAGACATAGTGCACGCTATCACTCTTCAATTCGACAATCATGAAACAAGACTGCCAAAACAATAGGAAGGACATCGAAATTCGGAGCCCGGGTGGCATCGGCACTCCGTCGTGTCGGCCCCATAGCTCGAGAAGGGAGTCCTCATTCCTCGGCGGGCTGCCATGTATCGAGGGATTTCAAGCAGGCGCATCGAGGGTTGGCCTCCTGAGGCCAAGGTTCACCATCAAACCCCACAGCAATGATCGTCGCAATAATAAGAATAGTAACAATAATCATAAGTAGCAATTAGCAATAGCAATAAGAGGAGGAGGAGTAGTAGTAGTAGTAGTAGTACTAGTAGTAGTAGTAGTAGTAGTAGCAGCAGCAGCAGCAGTAGCAGTAGTAGTAGAAGAAGACAAAACATGAATCATATGAGGCAAACCTGCAAATCACAGCCACATCTGTTGGTGCAATGCCATTGTACGTGAAGTTCTCGGGCGGCCAAGGACCTCCGAGACCCCCGTCACCCTCGCCAAGACCAACAGCAGCCCACAAGCCTACGAACCAAGAAAGCAAACCTGCGAGAGTAGACGAGCATCTCGATCTCCTTGAACAAGGCCTCTACGGACTTGAGGGTTCCTTTGCCCCACTTTTCCTGCAAGGGCTTCTGGGCTCCCCAGCTCGAAACATGTTACACCAGCCTGCCGAGGAGTGTTGTGAATCAGTTTAGGGTTGAAGCTCGGCTAGGCCAGGCTTGAGCGGATTGGGATCCAAATGTCAGGTTTGGACTCCATCCAAGAGTTTTCCGAATTGCTCAGTAAGCACTCTCGATCTGTTCTTGCAGTGCGAACCGTAAACCGCAAGCCCTAAACTTCGCACCGGAACACTGTTTCAACCCTGGAATTACTGCCTTTCCTTGCCCTGCTCCCTTGCCCACCACAGCAAGATTAGACCTCCAACACCCGAACCAGCTGAAAAGCACGACATCGTCATAAGCTTGTGCCGCGCACCTGAAACAGAACACCGAACCGCCCGCAAAGCATATACATATGCATTTAAGGGCATACAGACATGTGCACACATAGAGATGTACATGCCGTTGCACGACAAACGAGTTGATGTGCATAAGCATCCATAGTGAATCTACAGAAGTGCGTGTGGACATGCACATGTACACATGCATGCAGACAGCCATGCACACTATAGGCAAGTGTACAGACATACGTATATGTGTAAAAATACATAAACACATATGCAAAAACACATATGTTTATGTGCACATAAACACATATATTAGTTTGGCGATCTTCCTTTGTTTAATATAGAAAAACTATATCTGCTTTACCTGTTCTTATTGCATAAACATTGAGATCACTAAGGGCTTAAATCTACTGAAGTCTACGGTCTAAACGTTTAGGGCTTTAGGAACACAAGTAAGTTGTTTATAAACTCCACCTCTGCAAACGATGCCTCCGTGAGACAAGACGAACAAAACTACTTCAGGCGCTGTTGCTGCCGCTGTTGCTGGTGCTGTTACTGTCAGGGCTTGGTGCTGCACGGGTCCCAGGTACCTGGGACCTCCAAGCAACTGGTCAAAGAGCCCCGGCCGGTTACCAAGAATGTCTTTGAAGGCCCGCCCCCTCTTAGAAGGGGTTCCGGATCAACCGGTGTGGCGGAGTCAAAATATAACACGATGTGCAAAAGCCGAAGAAGCAGCCAGGCCCGATAGAGTGAAGGGGACACGCAGATGGCGGGGCTGATGCAGCAAGCTGCTTTGCAGCCGGCGTTTGTTTACATGCAGCAATGCATGCAGGCACAGGGCTAAGGCGGCCTTCCTGGCTTGACCATCCTGCAGAATGGCGGCGGTCTGAAGCGAGGACGCAGCCAATCAGGATTGGAGGATAGTTCGCAAAGGACGGAGCCCACCAACCTTGGAGAACGGCCCCGCGAGCTCTGCAGCAAGTCCGCGAGCCGAGACGGTGCAAGACCCAGAGCCTGCACAGTGGCCGAAGTCGGTGCAGAGCCAGAAGCTGCAGCAGGAGCCGCCGCACGCTGAAAAGGATATCGACAAAATGGAAGAAATGATCCGAGCAAAGCAGCTCGAAGGGAAGAGTAAGAACAAGACGGAGGCTTTTTGCAAGCCCGACTCGAAAACAAGCGCTTCCAAATCCGACGCCAAAGAGGCCCTTCGAAGCCCGTCAAGAAAGCGATCCTCAAGTTACCGGCCTACCAAGGCACTTCGAAGTAGCCGCCACTGCGCCTGGAAAACTGCACGGTGTTTACCCAGCAACCGCCTTGCCGAAAAGGGCGACAAGGTCTCCAGCTTCAAGGTGCAGGAGCCCCACAAGGTTTGGAAGAGGCTGAAGGCGTACGTGGAGAGCTTGTAGGGAAGCATGCAGCTGAATAGCTGCAAGGATCGCACATGCAGAGTGCATATGGCATAATCCAGAACGTGAGCTCGCAACTGGATGGAGCGACAAAGATTGCACGTGAAGTGTCGTAATTCGTGCTAGCCATCGCGATGTTCAACCTCGCATGTTGCTTTTTTCTCGTCACCGAAATCGATCTCGGTATCATCTGCACGCGGTTTTACTCATTGCATGTGTTGTTTTTTGTACTCCGGATACCATGTTTTATAACCATTTTTGGTGAGATAGGAATGGACTTATAAGTGCCATAAAAGTCCTTACGATACCTCACTTATCAGTGCTTGCTCACTGGAGACATACGTCCGCTAACCCCAAAGATCACCATAATGGGCTGGAGGCCGGAGGCTGGGGGCTGGGCTGGAGGCCGGAGGTTGGGATTTAAAATCTTTACACTTGAATTGGTGGGTCAATTAACTTTTGAAGATTCTAAAGACTTTACGGATAAATTTTCAATCTTTCAAATCTTTAAAGGCTGGCACAATCAAATTTCGATTTTAAAGACTTGAAAGAGTTTTAACAATCCAATTGGCGGGGCTGGGGCTGGAGGCCGGAGGCTGGGCTAGAAAGCCCATCGCCAAATAGTACATAAAGGTCTTTCTTCGATATACCTATGTGCCTATGTGTATATACATACATATATACACATGTATGTGATTATACGGTATGTACCTATAACATGTGCAGTTAGGTACTTACACATATACATGTTGATATTCGTACAACTCTATGAACCACCATAAACGTGCCTCAGTGTGTGTCTATAATCTAGATCTACATATGTATCTAAGACAGATTGATAGATGGCTAGATAGATCATAGATTGATAGATTGAATAGCCAGATAGATAGATATACGGATAAGTAGGAGGTAGGTAGGTCGGTACCTGGTCGGTAAGTGGGTAGGTCGGTCGGTAGGTAGGTAGGTAGGTAGGTAGGCAGGTACGTAGATAGATTAGCTAGGTAGGTAGGTAGGTAGATAGATAGGTTAGATAGATTGTTTTGTGCTTACAGGGTGCACTGTCAGTTTAAAAAGACCCCGAAGCCCGGAAACCGTCCATCCGCAGGTCAAACTGGGAGAGCCAGGTCGTCAAAGCCCCCGCATTGGCAAAAGAGCCTGCGAAGTTCTCGCACTCTCTCTCTCCTCCCTCTCTCTCTCTCTTTCTTTCGCCAGGGCTGTGGGCAGAGGTTGCCCTCTGCCCTCTCTCTCTCTCTCCCGGGCATGGGGACGTCTTACCGTCCCCGGGCAGAATGCCCACCCGATCATTTTGGTCGGGCTGTACGGGGAGTGAGGAGCGAACATTAGTCCCCCAGATCGCTAAAGCTGATAACTGCACTAAAAGACGGAGGGAGACTGAATGTTCTCAAATACACATGCACACGCTCGCTCTCTCTCTCTCTCTCTCTCGCTTTGGAGTTCAGGAGTTTAGGGTCTCTTGATACACAGATGGTGAAGACTAACAAAAAATATAAGATAGCTAGGCAGATAAACAGATCGACAGATAGATTCTTAGATTCTTAGATAGACAAACAAACAGAGACAACGCGCTTTATTCAGTTGGAGACGGCCTGCTTCGGACCTTGGAACTTGGCGACTGCTTTCAACACCTCCGAACACAACATCTGTGCAAATCCGAAATTTGCAATTTTGGGGCGTCTGAACCTTGGCAACCCTGACGCAAGCCGCAGTGACCAGGACTCGAAACAGCTGAAATTTCTGAAATCCAAACAACCAGCGCCAAGTGCTACCTGCAAGTTTCGGCGCTTTACATGTTCAAGCTTCAAACCTCTTGTCAAAGATGGCCCTCCTGAATCCGATAGTAGCAACCAGGAGAGGCGACGGCCTTTGCGCTTTGTCTCTTTGAGCTCGCTGCCCTCGAAGAGATACCGCTGAATCTGCAGCCACCTTAAGCGCCCGAAGGTCTCTGCAGGGTTTAGGTCCGTCGCAAGTACGTCGGAATAGACGTCTGGTGAACTTGATTCAGCGCTAGGCTTCTAGGCTCTCGGCGCGGAGCTCACCCACGACACGGGTCAAGCAAATCCAGCTTTGCAAATTAGCGGTGAGTGGTAGACTGCCGTGAACACCCGCTTTTACGCAGGCCGCATCGCTTTGACATTCCCCAACCAATGGATCCGCGGCCCAAACAGCACTGCTCAACAACATCGCTACAACCGCCTCTGGCTGCGCTCCTTCAACCCTGCTAAAAGCTGTGTCTGCTGGGGTTGCGTAGGGGTTAGGCTCTGGCATTCTCGTCGGAGGACCACATGGTCAATTGCAGACACAGATTTTGAACTACTATCGATCGAACTACTATACCTCATCCGCATGCCAGCTGCCAACTCCCCTTAATACAGCAGAATCGGGAACCCGCCCAGCTGAATTCATTCACAGCGGCTCGAGCCACACCCAGGCGTGGATGTACTTGAGCTTTCGCTTGCCATCCTAACGGGCGCACAAGCATCTGCTTCCCTCAACGGTCTCCAACAGAATGCACTTCTGGAGGCTGATACCTACAATCTTTACACAAAGGCTTTGAGGTGCGAGCTCACCTGCTTACATCCCAAGTACGGCTGGAACCTGTAACGCCAACCAACAGTAACCGGCCTTGTCCGGATGCTCGAACTCCAGCGTGTTCAGATCCGTCAATGGCAAACCCGTACATACGATGTCCACCGTGTAGAGATGGTACATGGTCAGCAGTCCTCGGGCTCTCGCGGCTCGAGGCAGAGATTGAGAGGTGAGGGAATAAATGATGAGTATGGTTCCTCGCAATCCGACAGTCCTGGATAGCTTTTGGACTTCTCTAGCTCGATGATGTGGTCCACGAAGTGTTCGTTGACCACCTGCAGCAAGGCGTTTGTAACAGACAGATGCCCAAGCCTCCAGGCAGGGCTCTGAGACGTCACGTGCTGCTTTGCAGCTCTTAACCTCCTCCTCCTCCTCCTCCTCCTGCTCGCCTCGAGGGGGCAGGTGTAGTTTGGGTCGTACTCCGGCGCGGGTCTTCCCAACCCAATCTTCATGGTCCTGAGCACCAAGCGATTCTGGCGAGTAATCAACACTTACACGCCTTGGTGGTGAGAGGTGAATCGACCACTGGATCTATGCACCGACTACCTGCGGCCACAACCTCGAGTGTCCCCTCTTCCTCGCAAGAACAGGAAGCTACAGGCGAATTCTGAGGCACTTTTAACTTACATAAGTAGTTTGGCACCGAAATTACGGCGAACGCTGGAATATAGTGTATCGAGCTTCGACTCCACCACCCGCTGCATCTCTTCCTCGGTAACAGCCCGCCGGCACACCTCGGAGGCGATGCTGGCGGTCCAAAATGGTACCCTATAAAATCCGTAAAGCCCACAACGCCACATCCTCGAAACCCTCTTGGAAGCCGGAAGGGGGCTGTCTTCAGCTGTCCATCCTATCATCCAAGAACCCAAGAGGGTAGATGGGGTCAAACCCAAAGCTGAAGGCGGGCAGGGGCATCTGCAGCTTTATCAACAGAGTGCCGGCGGGTTGGCTTCCAGTTGTTAGTGACCTGGCTTTGAGGCCAAAAGCCCCCCGCCGAACAAGCGATTCGACATGGTCTTGAAAGACGCCCGGGTACTATGTCCCCAGATCGGTATCCTATGGAAGATCTGGCGCCTGTATGCGCCGGCATCGGCGCATCACACCCTTGAGAAGGGATGCCGATACCATGGGGCCACGATGCATGGCGAACCAAGGGAGATCTTCATCCTTGCACTGTGGCAATGTATTGGCTCAGCAGATTTCTAGTCATAGCACGGTCGCATAAGAAGCAAAGTCGGGCGTGCCCCAAGCCACCAGCGACTGCCCGGGTAGAACGGCGAGGAAGCCGCTGCGCACTGCATGGATCTGCCGCACCTCTCGCAACTGTTCCTGGACCGCTGTGCTGTCACCTCCGGCGCGGCTATCACCCCAGGTTACGACCGATCCATCATTCAACAAAGCTGCGAAGGCGGAACCGGAAGCATGGACTTGCCGCACGTTCTTGAGCCTTTTCCGGACATGTGAGCTGTCACCACCAGCTTGGGAGCAGCCCCAAGTCACAACCGATCCATCGTCCCGCAGCGCCGCGAAGGCATTGGCGGCGGAGGTCCCTGCCACTTGCTGCACGTTCTTCAGCAAGCGCTGCACTCCTTTACGGGCACGACAGCTTTGGTCGCCCCATGACACAACGGAGCCGTCCTCAAGCAAGGCCGCGAAGGCTGCCTCTGAGGGAGAGATTTCCTTCACACCCTGGAGTTTGGCGTCGACCCGGCTGGAGTCTCCGCCGGCATTGCGCCATCCCCAGGTCACTACCGAGCCGTCGCCACAGAGGGCAGCAAATGCGTAGGAGTTAGCTGACACTTGGCGCACGCCCCTGAGCTGATCCTTGATGTCGCTGCTTGAGTCCACTGTGCCCCAGCTAAGCACGGATCCATCCCCAGTCAATGCTGCGAAGGCAAAGCCTGTGCTTACTATCTGCTGCACATCCTTCAGCTGCGCTTGTACGGAAGAACTGTCACCGCCAGTCTGAGTCAAGCCCCAGGTGACCACAGAGCCATCATCCATCAAAGCAGCAAAGGAAAAGGCAGAAGCAATGAGTTCCCGGACGCCCGACAGTTTCGGAGCCGGCATGTTCTCCAGACCCAGCGGGCCCCAGACTTCCACGGAGCCATCCTCCGTAACGGCAGCTAAGGCTGCACCGGCCGCAGCCACCTGCTTGACATTCCTCAGTCGCTCGCGCACCGCCCAGCTATCTCCCCCATGGGAGGTGTCTCCCCATGTCACGACAGAGCCGTCATACATGATGCAAGCCCAACAGTAGGAGCCCTCAACGAGTTGCAAAGGCCTCGTCTGAAGAGTTAGCACATCACCGTCACACAGCTGGGCCTGTCTCACGGTCCCTGCAGAAAGGCTCTCTCCTGCACTGGTCCACAACTTGCCTCTGCTTCCAAGTTGGCCCTGTGCCAGGCGCTGGAGCTCACAAACAGAGCTTTCGGGCGCCACTTCCACCAACGTCCTCCTCCCACTCAACAAACACACTTCAATACAAAGTGTAGCCATGCAGTCTTGATGTGGTTTGAGGAGAGGGGTGTTCTGGCATTTCAAGGGCCGACTGTCACATCTCACGGACAGGCTACACGGCCGCTCGCCAGGGCCTGCACTACACCTGCCAGGTCGTGCCGTGAATGGAGCCGAAATACAATTATCGACGAAAACCATATCCAACATCTGAAGCACCAGAAACAACCCACCCGAGACGCAAACCGCCAACCAGCGAATAGATCGAACAAGGTGGGTCTGACTGTAACACACTTTCAGGGCATGTCTTGGCCTTGAAAATCCGCAAGCAAGCTGTGCACTGGCTTGTAATCTTCATGACCGCTTCCGTTCCATTCGACCAAGGAGCCTCGTGAAGATTTTCTTCCAAGGGCATTTCGTCAGTCGTCAATTTCTCTGACAGGAGACCATTCCGCGTTCGGGTGCGGCCATCTCCTTGGATGCCAATCAAGTCGAAGCAGTGAAACTGTTCTTTCGAAGTGGGGGATCAGGAACTCAGAACAAAACAAAATACTCTTAGCGGAAGCTTATATTGGACAGCTTAGCTACAGTTTGCAGGCTGTGGTTTGGATTTCAGAGCTGATGCATGCAGGCACCATGCCAGTCTTGCGACAACGAGGACTGCATGACCCGTCGAGTGCACGGCATCCAAACTTCTGCGCCCTTTTTCTGTTCGTGCTTGATTTGTTTTCTCTCTCTTTCTTTCTGCAGGGTTATGGGCAAGAGGGTAGTCCCCCCTGCCCGCGCCAGCTCTCTCTCTCTCCCTCTCTCTCGTTGGCTGTTGCAGCTAAGAAGACTGGGCGTGCCAAGCTAGGTCCAAGTTGGCGGCTTGACTTTGGGGCTACTGTCTCCGAGTAAGGCGTGGGAAACAAACAGTATATTTGCCACCTCGGAGATCGAGAAGCTACAGTACTGCTCAACACAAGATGGAGTCCAAACATTCACAAAACTGGGTGTCTCTACCACGGTTGACAGACAGAACCGAAAATATCAAAGACATTGCGCAAAGCCAAAGGGCAAATCGTGTGGATTCAGACTCAGCCTTGCAAACGCATGTCTGAGACAAGCAGCCGTACTGCTGCCATGTGTTGAAAAGGAAAATGCCTCGCTCATATCTGTCCGGCGAGGTTACCTGTCCATGGCATCACCCAGAATGTTAAAACCTGTTTCATGCAGGGCTGAGTATCGACAAGGACCTTAACGCCGATAAGGAGGCTTAATTTCGACTGGGCACTTTACTCATAGCTCGGAGTTTTCTGTGCAAAATGCTCGAGCCCACTATAGTAACCCCTCATCAGGAGCCAGCCTATATGGGTAGTTCTCTAAACTAGGGTCCGTTTTTTGGTCCCCAATACAGTACGACACCCGTATGAGAAGGGCCCTGAAAGGGACCCTAATTTAGAGAACTACCCATATAGAACCCTTATAGTACCCTTGTAGATCCCTTTAAGGAACCATGACAAGGGGATCCTACTTTAGAGAACTAGCCTCATCCCATGGTTGTGGATCGATAAGGAAGAGGATGAGAATGGGCGACCGACAAGGGAGCTTCGAGATCCGAGCCGGGTTATAAGATAATCAAGGTGATGCTGCAACTCCTCCTCCTACTACTTCTTTTCGCTACAAATACTACCACCACTCTTGTTGCTGCTGCTACTGAAGCTACTCCTCCTCCTCCTCCTCCTCCTCCTACTACTACTACTACTACTACTACTACTGCTACTACTACTACTACTACTACTACCACCACTTCTTCTACTACTACTACTACTACGACGACGACGACGACGAAAAGTGCTATTTGTTACATCCTACATACTGCGTACGACGGCACTGCTACTACTCCTGCTGCTGCCGTTACTACTGGTAAGGCTAGTCAGCTACTAGTACTGCATGAGTCTGATGGCAGTATTGCAGACAAGAACACCGATGGTGAGCTTCGCTCTACCATATGATCTACTATAATTACTATAATCTACTATAAAAAGTATCATCTACTGTAATCTACTAGTGGTCAGAGAGGGAATGGAAGTAGGTGTAAGAGCAGGAGGAGGAGGAGGAGGAGAGCATCAGCATCACGCTTATCTGCTTTATTCTTCGACACATTCTTGAAGTTGCAGAGCTCCACCTAGAAATCAGTTTCATGTATCCAAGCAACACAGCATAACAAGATGTGCGGCATGGCTTCATTGCCGAACCTATCCTTTCAGCTGCATCATCACAGTTATGCTATAATAGTAATCTTAACGGTAACTATTAAAAATCATAACCATAACAATAGTACTAAAACTGAAAATCATAAAAAATAATAATAATATAACATTATTATCATCATTATCATTATCATTATTTTTATTTTTCTTATTTTTTGTTTTCATATTTTATTATATCTTATGTATATATATATATTATGTATGTATGTATGTATGTATGTATGTATGTATGTATGTATGTATGTATGTATGTATGTATTTATCGCTTCAGCTATCCTTCCAGCATCGGGCCTTCGCCCGAAGAACATGGGTAGTTCGCACAGGAATCAGACTGCCATCAGCTGCCCGCCAGAGCTCCAATGCAGCTTCGTTCAGCTTGATCTCCTTCAACAGGGGCAGGTAGCATAGCGACTTTCGACTCGGCAGCAACACTTCGGCTCAACAGGTTCTCTCGCGTGACGAGGCCCAGTGCTTCCTACTGTCAGCATCGCGTGGATTTCGCAACGTGTGTGAACCGATATTGCTTTTCCTCAACTGCTTGGTGTTGCGATGTCTTTGTCTCCAACGAGTGTGTTTTTTGGCTACATTGACAAAGGGCACATGAGCACAAGACCGGCTTGTCGAAGCTGGAGTAGCAGCCCTGCCAGTGGATGGCTTCACACCAGAATCCCGGCTCTCCTTCCAGAATTTGCTGACGCCCTTGGTGTTGTCTTTGCCCCAGTCTGCCGTGTCCAAGCCTGGCAACTATGAGGAAAGCCCCCATCGTCGTCTAGAGGAACCTGTGGCAGTGTCACGATCTACATGACGTTGATTGCCACCTAGGACTTGCAATAGTCCGCTTTTCTGCAAGATGCACTATTCAATTTCTGACTCAGTGGTGCGAGTAAGACAGCGGCAGAGTAATGGTTCACTTACCATGCGAAGAAAGCTTGCTGCCCCCCGAATGGGCGTTTTGCATACTTTGCAACCACAGTACCCTTGGTCATGCGGGGTACGATCTACGACTCCTGCGTTGACCTTCGAAGTCAGGTCTGGCACTTCCTGACACATCAACTTCCCAAGCCGAAAGACAGGGCCTCAATGGAAGAGATAACGCGGAAAGGTTCAAGGGAAGTGTCTTCTTCTGACGTCCAACTTCTCCCTAAGTGGCTGCCTTTGCACTCTTGCGGGAGCCAGGGCACCTTTGTCCAGGAGCCAGGCAGCCAGGGACTCTGCATCCGGCACATCCTTGTGTGCTCCGGCTCACGGCTTCACAAGGGCTTCGACTTCGGATGGCACACGAGGCTCAAGTTGTCGAAATGCACTGCAGGAAGACAACAGCGAACCTGCAACACACCAAGAGCTCGCATCAAGGAGGAGCTGCTTGACGTCAGGACCAAATTGGGCAGACAACCGTGCTCCTACCGCATAACTGGCATAAGTGTCGGCTGCAGCAGGTTTCTGCATTTCAATCTCGACGCTCCACAAAGAAACGGCCAACACTGGGTTAACTGCACCCATACGAGTGTCAGGCTTCTGTGTAGTATACTATCGTGTAGACAGTAACGTATAGACTATCGACTATACAGTACAGTGCTACACAGTGCATTCTTTAAGCCCTTATCAAACGAGCCAGGCGTCGCTCAGCGAGGCGCTCTGGATAAGTTCCCCGTCCGTTAGCGGTGCGGGGAGGTTCGACGCGGCCACCATCGCAAAGATGCGACGATAAGGGGAACAGGATCACAGCGCCTGAAAGAGTCCCTTGGCTGGAGGTTATGAGAGCTGGGCTAAGTCTGCGAGAGGCTTTGGGCGTCGAGGAGAGGATCTATGGATCCTCTGGTTGCGGTGAGGTGCAGGAGTGGGTACTTGGGCTAGAAGGATGCTTGGGGCACCAGATGGTGTTGTCAGAGTCGCTAAAGTGTATGGGGTTGCGCGCTCCTGCGAAAGCTCGTAGTGGTGGCATCTGCAAGGCTGGTGTTCACCTGCGTTTACAATGACTGCGTGTCTGTCAATGGTTTGAGCCAGAGAGATGCATGCCAGCTGTGTGTGGTCGGCGTTGCTTTCGCCCTGCGAGTTTCATGCATAGAATAGGTCTGCTATGTGGAGGCTTCCACAGTTCATATACGATGCCACTAAGACCGCAAAAGGCTGAACTTGCAAAAGCTGGATCGACAGTCACACTGAAATCATCGCATTGTGGCAACAGTTAGTCTGCACCCGCATAAGCGACGCGCAAAAGCCGAAGACAAGCTAACGATTGTCCTGCACAAGACGTGTTTTTTTCAGCCGTCGCGGCAGAACGGCAAGAGCTACAGATATGAACGGGAGCTATGGCTTGTACAAGACTGATCTCTGACACACACACACACACCCACACAAAATACATTAAGAGTGCTCCTCACCTGGGCTATGGTGTGTATTGGGTGGACATGGATTCAGTGTTTGCTTCGGTCTTCGCTTCTGTGCCAAGCCAGGCTTTTCGTGGCCGACTCAGAACTGAACGTAGGAAGGCTGGTCATTGCCTTCTGCCTCGGAAGAAACTGCAAATATAATATAGTATAATATATTATAATATAGTATAATATAATATAATAAGCTTTCTCTGCATGGCTTGGAATGAGGGCTTGGCCATTGGAGTTCGCTGACAGTGGTGGTGACAGATTCGTACGTCAAGGTGTGTCTCGAACACTGGTACCACTGGACCAGAGGCAGGAACTGCCTCCATCGGCTACAACAAGTAGGCTGTTAGGGTACCACAGGGCAGCAGGAGAAGCGGTCGGAGGCAATCGACCTGCAAAACCTTGAGAGCCCAGATTGAAGCAACTACCCAGAACCAGCACACTCAATTCTTCATCTGGGGGGTCTGTGGACCTAAGCAGCTGCCAGCGACGCCCTCGAAGATTCAAATCAAAGATGCTTAGCCAGGCGCAGCTCGCACCGTCGGATTCCTTCTATTGCAGAGCAAGATACTATCCGCTCTTCCGACTGGTAGCTGTACATGGTGGGGAGCAGCTTCTGACCTTGGCGCAGCAGCGAAGCATGGCGGCATGGTGCTTGTCTTGCCGCCACAGGTATCAAACTTGTGTATACTCGTACGGGGTACTGCCGGTACCCATAGACACAGTGGAACATCCATCGAGTTGCTCCTTCACTTCCTCAAGCTCCTGTAGAAGAAAAAGAAAGGGGCGGTAGGGCCGGTACGGGAGCCGCAGGTGCAAAAAATGCCCCATGTGATCCTCATGACCAACCGTTCCTAGATCATCACGATTGATCATTCTTGTCCATGTCGATATTGGCACGCTTTGCAATTATGAAGGTCAACATGCTTGTGATTTCAGCCTATTGCTGTCGTAGCTGCTAGATCCTACAGCATGTATGGTCTGCGCACAGGTGCCAACTTGAGGAGTGCAGGAAGTCCCAATTGGTGACCTATACTTTACAGACTTTTAGACCTAGAACAGCTCTAAGTAGAATTTTCTGCTCATTCGAAACACGAGCATGCACGAGAACAAGTCGTGATTCCTCAGGACCAGGCCAAGACGACCCACCACTGCACTTTCGGAAGTTGGTGGCCGATGGGGACCCTGCCATTCATAGCTTCACTCGACTGCTGCATCTCAGAGATCTAAGTATGCGGATAGGCACACCGCCAACGACTTGCTTCCAAGACCTTGCGAAGGCAAACAGGGTCTGAGGCGCCGCCAGCTGAAACCACACCAGCAGCTGCAACAGACCTTAGCCCAACGACAAAACTGTGCCCAAACGAACGGAGCTGCCTGCTCCAAAGATATCAGGAGCTCGGACTGCACTGTGGCGGCGGCCGTTGAGCAGAACGATCGCCACCACAGTCAGCAAAGGCATCACGACCAGTGCCAGAGCGAAATGCGAGTTCCTGAACTGCAAGGCGTTTGATGGAATCAGAATCCCATGGAATCTCCACAAATTGCACTAGTATGACTTGGGCAAGGGAGTGACGAGCGGGAGGACACAAGTCTCAGCTCGAGGAGTTGCCCTGCACAGATTGTCTTCGCCCACAGAGCTGTATAGCATTACCATGGGCAAGCACAAAGCTCACAACCGAAATCTGCTGCATCGGGTTGTCGCCACTGTGCGCACCGTTTCGGACCCAACGAAGCTGCCCCAGCGGCTGAGTTCAGGCACAAAGCGATACTCCTCACTGCAAAGCCCCGGACGCCATTGAGACATCTTGCTCCAGGTGTGTGGCCGGCTCCTGGCCAAATCTGCTGCAAATGCAATAATACTCTCACATCCCACCCCGCATCTTCCTGGAAACGAAAGGATCTTGCACTCTGGTGCAAGCCAATTCGACTATTTGCGGCTTGCCGGACAACATGCGATCACGAGGAACACACAAGATCCCAGGAAGAAAGACTATTCTGGCTAGCCGCCAAAAGGCTCGAACCCTGCCCAACAGGTTCCCAACTATGGTTTTCCTCCCCTGTACTGCTGATGGAAGATTCACCGGAAGCCAAGGTTCTGCTTCTGCATGGTGTCCTTATGGAAAGCCCGACGTGTCGTCCGAACTCAGCCACAAAGAACCGTAACCCAGAACCACTGCAACAAGTCCCTCCACACTGGCCCCTTCCAGAACGAAGGACCTCAAGCAGTCTACAACCATCCACTTACAGGCCGGCGGTTTGCTTACAGTTGGCAGCTAGCAGACCCTTACTTCCTTACGCCTTGAGGTCGCTGACGGCGTCGTGCTCGTACTTAAAACTGACACAGCAACTTCTACTGCGAATGCTGCTCCGGATACGAAAATTTAAAACGATGCTGACATTGGACGCCAAGGCAGTGAACGCTGTGCAGCTTTCAGGCTCCCTTTTGAAGGCAAGAGTCTGAGGAGGCTGCTCTGCGAGGATGTCTAGCAGATTCTAACAGTCTAGCAGCCAATTGCAAGAAAACTCTGGTTTTTCCCGATTAGCAGGGGCCCCGAACCGTTTGAAAACCAGAGCGCTGGCCAACTCCAGGACTCTCATGAAGCTCTTCCCAGGGGTTGTAGAAGCGAGCCAGGATCACATTGTGCCACTGCAGGAAGATGGGATACTTCACCACCTCGCATGCGGCTGCAGACTCTATTCAACTCTAGTCTACGTGCAACTCTGTACGGCCAACCGCATTTTCATGCACATGAGATGGCTGAAGCCTGCCCGCCCACCAGAAAAACCGTTGAGGCCAGCAACATGCTGCGGCTACACTCTACACGCAGGTCACAGGGACACACACATGCCGCTGCCCCAATCTTACTCCGGGCAAAGCCTTTTTGAAGTGGGCGGAGAAGTCCTGCACAGCCAGCTCGTAGAACTTCAGCTTCCTGGGCAAGACTCCGATCTCCCACATCTGAGGATCCTTTCCAACACCCGCCAGAAGAAATCTTCGCCTCTCCATTGCAGGCTGCTCGTCTCCACTATTCCAAAGTTGTTTCAGTCGTTAACCTCACAAAGGCCCTCTGAGACTCCAGCATCTGGTCTGTCTCGCGAATGCCACCTGTCTCCCACATATTTCGGCGGGCTGGGCTTGGGAGCTCGGTCGTCGATTTGGGGCTTCATGGCTGCTGACGTCCTAAGTGCCTCTAAACAGGACCCCTGTCAACGAGAGACTCGTGATAAACCTCCTTTACAGAGGTGTAGCATACGCACGGCTGCTGCGGGCAGATCTCTTCTTCCGTCTTACAGCCAAGCTACGTACAGGCTGTACCGTACAGGTCTCTAGCTGTAGAACCATGTGCCAACCAGCAAAATATGATGCCCAATATCTGACATGCAAGCGACAATGATCTAGTAAACATTTTAGGGCCAAAACTGCCGTGCCTAAACAAAAGTGCGTCCATCCACTCATGCCATGGAAATGCCTTAAGGACTGTAGGTACACTGCAGGTGGCGTCGCAGCACAAAACCTTTAGATGAGATTTCAGCTCCAACGAAGCATGCTCAGGATCGTGCCCACATGCGCCCCGGGCACGTTCCAGTCCCCACCTCAAGGCGAAAGACAGGTTGGAGCTGCAGCAGACAGGTTTCGTTTTGTTGGCGAGTTTTGTCGCTTCGGCTCCAAGAAACTGTCTGATTTGATTTTGTACCCCACTATGACTTTTACCATCGTGACCCATGGAACCCGCAATAGAACGAGGCTGTGGGTCGCCTTCCGAGTTCAACTTCCCAGAGGAAGTGATTCTGCTAATCGCCAAAGAATGAATGAGCGCCGAAATCAGCTCTCACCTACCTGAGCCTTCCCGAAAAACTGTACTGTAAAGGCCCTCGAGACTTCACTTCCCTGGCGTAGCTGCACTTGGCCGTAGCTTAGCTTGCTACTTTCGAAGCTCTGGAGATTGGGTCCGTGATGAAGCGGCTTGGAGTTGCGGAGGGAGGTGTGATGGACAAGTACAGAAGCCACCCCAGTCGAAGGTGTTTGCCAAAGTCAGTTGTCCACCAGTCTGTTGCGCCCTTTTTTTCGCGCTTTGCAGCATCGACGCAGTCTCGACTGGGCATTTGTAGCCAACTTTGTTTCAGCCGAATGTAACTTATGTAGGTCAAGCCATTCTTCCAATGCTCGACACCAGGATCTGCGTGCAAGCTCCAGAAGCGAAACAAGCTGTCATAGATGCATGCATAAGTAAATGAATCGAACAATGTCCACAATTACAGCAACAACATATGCTGACAGGGAGCATCACCACCGCCACATATGGTCCC